TAGAGTGATATAGATATACCACTGTTAAAATAGTGCTCAATACATCAATTGGAGAGTGATATAGATATATCACTGTTAAAATAGTGTTCAATACATCAATTATAGAGTGATATAGAAATACCACTGTTAAAATAGTGCTCAATACATCAATTGTGGAGCGATATAGAAATACCACTGTTAAAATAGTGCTCAATACATCAATTGTAGAGTGATATAGATATACCACTGTTAAAATAGTGCTCAATACATCAATTGTAGAGCAATATAGAAATACCACTGATAAAATAGTGCTCAATACATCAATTGGAGAGTGATATAGATATATCACTGTTAAAATAGTGTTCAATACATCAATTGTAGAGTGATATAGAAATACCACTGTTAAAATAGTACTCAATATATCAATTGTAGAGTGATATAGATATATCACTGTTAAAATAGTGTTCAATACATCAATTGTAGAGTGATATAGATATAACACTGTTAAAATAGTGCTCAATACATCAATTGTAGGGTGATATAGAAATACCACTGTTAAAATAGTGCTCAATACATCAATTATAGAGATATATAGAAATACCACTGTTAAAATAGTGTTCAATACATCAATTGTAGAGTGATATAGATATAACACTGTTAAAATAGTGCTCAATACATCAATTGTAGAGCGATATAGAAATACCACTGATAAAATAGTGCTCAATACATCAATTGTAGAGCGATATAGATATATCACTGTTAAAATAGTGCTCACTACATCAATTGTAGAGCGATATAGATATATCACTGTTAAAATAGTGCTCACTACATCAATTGTAGAGCGATATAGAAATACCACTGTTAAAATAGTACTCACTACATCAATTGTAGAGCGATATAGAAATATCACTGTTGAAATAGTGCTCAATACATCAATTGTAGAGCGATATAGATATATCACTGTTAAAATAGTGCTCACTACATCAATTGTAGAGCGATATAGATATATCACTGTTAAAATAGTGCTCAATACATCAATTGTAGAGTGATATAGATATAACACTGTTAAAATAGTGCTCAATACATCAATTGTAGAGCAATATAGAAATACCACTGATAAAATAGTGCTCAATACATCAATTGTAGAGCGATATAGATATATCACTGTTAAAATAGTGCTCACTACATCAATTGTAGAGCAATATAGATATATCACTGTTAAAATAGTGCACAATACATCAATTGTAGAGAGATATTACAACAGAATCTACAAGACTGACTGAAAACGTTAAAACAAAGATATTACAACCATATGCAGTCGATTTAACATCAGAAATATGAAAATAGCACCGAACTCTCAACGCACATTTGGCAACTTAAATTGAAAAATAGTAATTAAAAATAATAAAAATTTCCTGGTCCATCGATAGCGGAGCTATGTAGCCTAGATTGATTTTTTTAATTATAAATATATTAATTATGTTATGCATATTAATTTACAAGTTGATAATTAAAGTTAATATGCATGAGATTATTAAGAACACAAGTGATATGGATATACTACTTCTAGGTTTATTACAGACTACGTTTCAAAACACATACAGGTAACATTAAAAACACGAGGTATATAGATATACTACTTCTAGGTTTATTACATACTACGTTTCAAAACACATACAGGTAACATTAAAAACACAAGATATATAGATATACTACTTCTAGGTTTATTACATACTACGTTTCAAAACACATACAGGTAACATTAAAAACACAAGATATATAGATATACTACTTCTAGGTTTATTACATACTACGTTTCAAAACACATACAGGTAACATTAAAAACACAAGATATATAGATATACTACTTCTAGGTTTATTACACACTACGTTTCAAAACACATACAGGTAACATTAAAAACACAAGGTATATAGATATACTACTTCTAGGTTTATTACATACTACGTTTCAAAACACATACAGGTAACATTAAAAACACAAGATATATAGATATACTACTTCTAGGTTTATTACATACTACGTTTCAAAACACATACAGGTAACATTAAAAACACAAGATATATAGATATACTACTTCTAGGTTTATTACATACTACGTTTCAAAACACATACAGGTAACATTAAAAACACAAGATATATAGATATACTACTTCTAGGTTTATTACATACTACGTTTCAAAACACATACAGGTAACATTAAAAACACAAGACATAAAGATATACTACTTCTAGATTTATTACATACTACGTTTCAAAACACATACAGGTAACATTAAAAACACAAGATATATAGATATACTACTTCTAGATTTATTACATACTACGTTTCAAAACACATACAGGTAACATTAAAAACACAAGATATATAGATATACTACTTCTAGGTTTATTACATACTACGTTTCAAAACACATACAGGTAACATTAAAAACACAAGTTTTATAGATATACTACTTCTAGGTTTATTACATACTACGTTTAGAAACACATACAGTTAACATTAAAAACACAAGATATATAGATATACTACTTCTAGGTTTATTACATACTACGTTTAGTAACACATACAGGTAACGTTTTCAAGTAAAATGATTAACAACCAAACAACACAAGATATATAGGTGAAACAATAGAAGCC